TGATTTATTTTTCAATCCATATATGCAGTCGGATGAAAACTTAAAAGAGAAGGACACGTTTTGTAACAGAGAAGAATGTATCAGAGCCATCAAAAAATTCCACATGCTAAACTCGGTCGATTTTAAGGTGGACTGTGTAAACCCAGAAAGGTACAAGATCAAGTGTGTCCACCCTGATTGTATGTTCAAGCTCACTGCATCATACAGATTGAGAGGTGATTGCTGGGTCATAGGTTCGATGTCTACCCATATCTACCCACACTTGTGTCAGTTCTACCCAATCACAGGACCATCGAAAACTTAATTACGGTCTCATTTGTCAAGAAATCCTACCACTCGTCAGCAACGATCCATCTTTGAAGGTGAAAACCATCATCTCCCACATCACTACGGTTTTTAACTATACTCCGTCTTACCGTAAGGCGTGGTTAGCAAAGACCAAGGCGATTGAAAAGGTGTACGGAAACGGGGAGGAGTCATACCAAGAACTTCCTCTCTACCTGAATACACTCAAGACTTATTCTCCGGGTACTGTTTACATTCTGGAAATAGTGCTAGCATACTCCCGTGATGGTAGTTAACTAAACGGAAATGGAATATTCAGTCGAGTGTTTTGGGAATTTCATCCTTGCATCACAGGGTTTGCATCATGTAAACCAATTATACAAATTGATGGGACTTGGTTGTATGGGAAATACAAAGGCACGCTACTGATGGCAGTTACACAAGATGGCAACAACAACATTTTCCCAATTTCCTTTGCCCTAGTCCAGGGGGAGATCGGTGGTGCTTGGAGCTTTTTTCCGAAAAACCTGCGAACACATGTGGCTCCTAAACCAGATCTCTGTTTGATCTCGGATAGACATGCATCCATTGAAAGTGCATACAATAATCCAGCAAACGGTTGGCATGACCCTCCTTCTACGCATGTCTATTGCGTCAGACATATCGTCCAAAACTTCACAAGGGAGATCAAGGTCAAAACACTAAGGAAAGCGGTTATGAATGCGGGATATGCATTGACACAACCCATATTGAAATATTACCGCAACGAGATCCGTTTGTCAAATTTGAAAGTCGATAGGTGGATCGACAATATTCCGGTAGAAAAATGGACTAGGTCATACGACAATGGCCAAAGATGGGGGCACATGACAACAAATCTAATTGAATCGATTAATGGGGTATTCAAAGGCATACGAAACCTCCCGGTCACTGCTTTGGTAAAATCTACGTATTTTAGGATGGCTTCGTTGTTTGCCAAAAGAGGTGAAATATGGAATGCAGTGTTGCAATCTGGACAACTATGGAGTGAAAGCTGCATGAAGTACATTAAGGAAGAAATTTCCAAAGCTGACACCCATATGGTTATACGGTTTGACCGACACAGCCACAACTTCATTGTGAAAGAGACAATCGACCACAACGAGGGCCTGCCAAGACAAGAATATAGGTTGTACTACCTTCTCGTTGGTGCGATTGTGGCAAATTTCAAGCCTTTCGTATGCCTTGCTCTCATGTCATTGCCGCGTGTGCTTATACCCATCAAGATGCGCTACAACTTCTATCACACATTTACAAATCTGAAACGTTGCTCAACGTTTATAATAACAACAACTTTCATTTGGTAGCAAAATCAGATTATTGGCCTGCATAAGACGGCGAAATAGTGTGGCACAATGACCAAATGCGAAGGAACAAGAAGGGTCGTCCCAAAAGTAAGCGCATCACAACCGAAATGGACTCTCTTGACAAGCTGGAAAGAAAGTGTTGTTTATGCCGCCAGGTCGGACACAATCGCAAAATTGTCCGAATCGGGCGTCTGCCTCGACCACATAAAAATTGTATTACATAAAATCTTTCCTTAATTATGTTGTAAACATTAGGGTTTTTCGTTAATAGTATTTGCTACAATAAACATTGTGCGTACAAGAAAAAAAACACGATATTCCGTCTACGAAATTACAGCTGTTAAAACAATTTCATCTGACCCATGCATCATCAACATTACGTCGCTGTCTATTTTGACTTCCTCCAACCATACATTAGGTCTTCCTGTCACATGTGAGGTTGTTGTTCGTCTTCGTTGGATCCTTAGAATTTCCCTCCCTCCACGATGTCTCCATCTAGCCATCGCATTAACTCCCGCTTCAGAAGCTCCATGGAGTGATTGTGCCAGAATTTCATTTTCATCGCAGGTTTTGTGGCAGAGAAGATAACGTAACCATCTCTGGTAAAAATCATGGGCGATGTCATGACGCAAATAACAGAGTAAAAAAATAAGAAAACAGTGCGAGAAAGTGTGAGAAATGACGGAGAAACAGACGAATTATTTATAAAAACAACATTTTGCCCTAGGAGTCAAGTGAGATGGCGCCTCCTCTCACTTTTAAAGTGCACGCGCCATCTCACTTGGCTAAAAGAGAGAGGTGGTGCCAAGTGAGATGGCGCCTAGGGCAAAAAGCTTGGTGGAGGCGCCAAGTGAGATGGCTCCTCCTTTGGAGAGCAATCTGAAACATGGTTATTTGCGTAATTTTTTTTCGAAATGTGGTTATTTGCGTTTTTTTTTAATACTTGGTTATTCAAAAAAAAAAGTTGAATATTAATTCTTTATTAAAATGAATGGTTGATTTTTTTTAATTAACACTTTGGCCACTTTAGACTATATTTTATTATAAAAATATTTTAAGAAGTTTTTTTTATTATTATTTAATCAAATATATGTGAAAAAATGTTTTATAACGTTACTATATAAATATCATTTGAATGTTTGATTATAGAATGAAACATATCTACTTATCGTTTGAAAAATGAACAAAATATAGAGTTATAATTTTATATTTTAATTCTGACTTTTAACTAAAAAATCACTATCAAATAAAATTCAATAAAAAAATAATTTATAATATAATAAAATAAAAATAAAAAAATTTAATAATTAATTAATTATAATAATAAAAAATGCTATCAGTAAGAAAATATAAAACCAAAAAAGACATAAATTAAATTTCAACCATTCATTAATATCGTTACTCCATTATCCATGATTTCTATTAAAATAAAAATTAAATTTAAAATGAATTTAACATTATCCTTTAAAATTATTGTCTTTCTTATTTAAATCATTCTTATTATATAACATTACTTTATAGTAATTGATTAATTTAATTATAATTTTAATCATTCTATTTTAATTATTTGTAAGAAATATCCACTTTTTTTCAAAGGTATATATCCACGTAATTTAAATTTAGTTTTAATCTTTTTACATTTTATATTTAAAATTAATAATATGTTTATTTTTAATCTATATATCATTTATAAAGCGTAACATATTATAATATAAAAAAGTTTTGTGGAATTTTATAATAAAACATATAAATTAAAAAAAAAAATTATTATAAAATAATAAGAGGAGAACATAACTGTTTAAGTTTTAAATAAATAATAAATTTTGAATTAAGTAAAATAAGGCACAAAAGTTAAAACTAAACCTAATTAAAACCACTTTGGTGTCTATTTAGTTTAAAGATTTTTTTTTTAAATTTCTAATTACCTTCATAAACTTTCTAATAATGTAGTTTTGTAAAATTTATTAACCATCCATAGTGTGATGTAACTTATAAAACTTGCATCTCATACCTATCTATATCTAATAAATATTATTATCCAAAAGATTTGATTTATTCAGAATATAACTCAAAAGCTAATTAAGATTAGATAAATCAATTATCTTTTCATTCAGTTTTTCATGGAATATAAATAGGGGTTTTGTTAGTTTTTTTAGGAAGATATATCTGTTAGTTTAAATTCAAATCTATATGTGAAAAAAAAATATCAGATTCAATATTTTTGGGAATAATAATCATAGTTAATTTGATATAGCGTATCTTTATTTTGGTTATAAAATTATATTCTATCTTTTTCCTCAAACAAAAAAGTAACAAATTGGTTTCACCTTCTTTTTCTCAAATTCTAATAACCGCTGCAAATTTGATATATATATATATATATATATATATATATATATATATATATATATATATATATATATATATATATATATATATATATATATATATATATATATAACAAAAGAAACAGTGGTAGTGCAAGTGATTAATTAAGTGCATCAAATCTTTAAAAATTATTACTGCTCCTTCGATGGAAGAGATTAATCCAATAAGTACAGGATTTTTTACTAGTGGTAGTAATATATGGAACAATGATTATGGATCACTACCTTATGAAGGTTATAGCGTGATGGAGATGGCTTCTATGAGAGTACTCACTCCGTCATGGCGAGGATGCATGGTTTCAATGGCGATGGATTGTCTCGACTGTCAATATTTACAAGCAGTTTGCTATGATCCTCTCTGAGATAAAGGATTATTTACACCAGCTCATGAAACATCAGTTTGGCAACTATTTGATTCAAAAGATTTTTGAAGCAAAGAAAGGCATCACTAATATCCAAATAGATTCTATTGTTTACTTGATTATCTATGATACTCACAAGTTAAGAGACGTCTGCAAGAACAATCACGGGTACGTAATTATTAAAAAATTATTAATGTAGCACTGATACCGACCTCTAAAAAAACGTGTCTATTGATAATTTCGTGTAATTTTTTTTGTATGCAGAACTCGAGTTATACAAATAATGTTAGAGAATATAAAATGTCCAGTCACAAAATATACAGGATTGTATATGATGAAGCCTATCATTGATGAATTGATGAAAAATGTTAACGGTGGTTATGTGATTGTGCAATGTGTGAAGGTTTTTCCACCCACACTCAAAAAGGTTCTTTTGTAAATAGAGAATGAAAATTCATATTAGACATTACCTTTTATCATCATATATTAATGTCTTTCAAATTATATAAATTTTACAGGTGATCTTGGATGAATTAGCAAAATATTGTGTTGAAATTGCAACACACAAGATTTGATGTTCAGTTCTTCAAACTTGTCTTAAAGATAGTGAGATACTAGACATGGGCTTGATAACATCAATAATCTCAAATGCTATGTTGCTAGCAGAAGATTGTTACGGGTTTGAATCCACACTCTTAAATTCGTATTTTCCTTTTTGAGTATGACATATGATATATATTATTTAGTAGAGTTTGAATGTTTATTTTAAATTTAGTATTTTGATAAATGTTATATTTTTTTTGTATGTTCGAAGAAACTATGTGGTGCAATTTATAATTAAAATGAAGTTTCCGTTAGTAAATGAACGGATGATAGCAAAACTTTGTGGAAAATTTGTTAGACTCTCTATGAACAAGCATGCTAGCAATGTGGTGGAAGATTTAATGAGATGTTCTAATCAAGATGATGTTAATGCTATAGTAGAAGAGCTAATAAGAAGCACTGATTTCTTGAATGTTATTCAAGATCCTTATGGGAATTATGTTGCACAAAGAGCACTAAAATGCACTAAGGTAATCTATTTTTTTAAAGGATTCCACTTTTATTGTATTATAACATTCCAAGTTTTTATTAACGTTTTAATTCGCATATTATTTATGTTAAAAAATTATTCATATTTTCTTTAATTATTATTTCTTTGTTTTGTTTATTGCAGGGCTATCTACGTAGAAAACTTTGTTTTACCATTCGATCCTACCACAACGAGCTTCAAAACCATCCACATGGAAAAATAGTGTTGGACAATGCCAAATCTAGCAAGCGATGATTTTTATATTTAAAGGATCACAACAACTTTTAAGCATAATTTATGTGATGTGTTAGGATTGTTAGTTTATAGAGAGTTGTGTAGTATGGTTGTTTATGTAAATTTATGATGTTGCATGTTTGTTGGTTTATTGTTTAAGTAGAGAAAACAGTAGGGTAATAACTCTCTTGTTATGTAGTAAGAACTTTAAAATGTTGTTTTTATAAGACATTGCGTAGCAATTAGTAGGAAAAATATTTTGAGTTTTGGTCTTTAACTAACTTTTTTATGAATCTACATTTTACCTAAATCATGTTGGTGTGCTCGCTGTATTTTTTTGGTGCAGTTTGCAGTCGCATTTTAACTGTCAGTGCTTATTAACCGAGTATTTTTACTTTTGATTTTGATCAATTGTAATCTTTTTTATTAATCTTTGTTGTGTGTAGTTTATCTTAATATGTTCATTTTCTTTTTTTACGATTACTTAGGTGTTCGTTTTTATCGTTTTTTGTTATTTTCGGTCTCGTTTTTTATCCTGAAAAATTAAAATTAAAATATTTTCTTGTTGATTTTATTTTATTCTTTTAGTTTGTATCATTGTACTAAATTTTATATATATATATATATATATATATATATATATATATATATATATATATATATATATATATATATATATATATATATATATATATATATATATATATATATATATATATATATATATATATATATATATATATATATATATATATATATATATATATATATATATATATATATATATATATATATATATATATATATATATATATATATATATATATATATATATATATATATATATATATATATATATATAAACATATATATATATATTTACTATTAGTATTATTTATGTTTATTGTTTTGTCCAAAATATGAAGGAAAAAAAAACTAATTTTGGGACCACAAAGTTACAAATTTCACTTTTCATCTCATTCAATCCTCACCCTTCATTCTTTTTTTTATCAAAACACATATTTATTTTTGCAACATCACATGGATTTCCACATAATTCCCTTCCAATTTCAAATTTCATTACAAACTTATACCATATTTCTCATGCCATTCATTGTTTACACAAAAGAAGAAATATTTTCAAATTTCAAATTTAAATCTTCCCACAATTTTCATTCAAATTTTCTCATCATTCACACTATAAATAAGATTTCTCTTCTCTCATTTTGGATCACCAATAGTTCAATAAAACTAAGCCAAAAATCTCTTCTTTTTTCTCTTCATTTTCTTTCAAGTTATTTCTCCCTTTTATTGAATAGGTATGCTTTTATGCAAGTTCTTTTTTTAATTCTATTGCATTTTACTCTTGATTTATTTATTTACTTGGATACCTTGTTACTCTGTTGTTATGTTGTCTCTCCAAGGTATTGGTTTGAATTTCTCTATGTGTAGGTTATTCTGATTTCTATACTTTATATGTGATTGAGAATTCCTCTATATACAGTCGTTACTCTACCAAATTTTTTGAAGACTTTCTTTGATTCTTATTTTTTATGTGAGGCACAAGTTCATCTGAAGTTTATTTCACCTGAGGTTTGGTTTTATTATGTTTGTTTGGTTTTCAATCCAAAGGATGAGAATTCTATGTTGACTTCTCTATGTCAAGCGTGGACTTCTTATTGGTTAGACCGTCTCTTACCTTAGCTTTTACTGTATATACATAGTATAGTTTCTCAACCTCCTCATATCTTCTTTAAAACTTTCTTTTCAAAACTCTTCTTGTTTTCTAACTTGAACTTCTTTCACAATAAACTTGGACTTCGATCCATGCATTTTAAAAACCATTTTTCTTAATTAATCTTTAATCAATTTAATCATACTTTAACATCTTTTTATAAGACTAAAAATTATTAACCTTATTCAAACCTTTGTCACTTTGGCGTTTTATTTTAAAACTTCTTCTCAAAAGACTAGACTCTTGTTAATCTTTAGTAGTGATGCAAACTACTATACTTCTATGATATATAGTGAAGTGAGATATTTTCCACTTAGGTGTTGATTGAGGCTCTGTTGATTTTAAATTCAGGCCGTATCCTCCATTTTGAGATGACGCAAATTCTCCTTTCTCATAATCGTAGGGAGTAAGTATGTTTTTCACTCGGTTATGACGATGATGTCTTGTTTTCTTAAAATTAACCAACACATAATCTTTCAAAAAAATTTAGAAGAAATACGAGTGCCCTGATCCCCTATTACACGAAAGGTGGTACGTAGGCACTAAAGGTTCGCAACTGCGGCGGGTGCAAAATCTGTAAAAAAATACTTCTTTTCTCACCTCTACCATCTATTTTGTAAACACCCCTTTGTAGCCAAAACCTCGATATTAGATCGTCGTGTCTTCAAATCTCATTCACACCCATTTTAACCAAACACACAATTTTAACCAAAAAACAGATATTTCAAAAGGTTCCTGCGGAGTAACGTAGATGCATTGGGTGCTAGTACCTTCCCTTTGTATAACCAACCCCCGAACCTTCGATCTCTTTCAAAAAATACATTGTATTTTCATTATTTTTAAGTATTACTTTACATTGCATATTTAAGAGTTTTATTTCTCTCTTTTCCCTTTCCCCTTGGAAATAATAAAGCGCGGTGGTGACTCTTGGTTATTTGCGAGTCAAGTTAATTAATAGCTTGATCTACGATTTTCACTGCTACAGGACTGTCAACATATTTTTTTGGTCTTCTTCTATTTCTTCTTGGTTTTGAAAGGAGTAGGAGGAATATCTTCATTGTTGTCTTCTTCTTCTTCAACAGTCACCAGATCTTTGTCATTAGCCTTCCTTTTTCCTGAAGATTTTGGTGGGAGACCACTAGCCTGAAAAATTTCATAATTAAGCATTGGGTAAGGGATTTTGAGGAAGTTTGTTTCTGAAAATCGTACCTTGATTTTCTTCGATTTCGGATTGTCTGAGGATTTCTATTGTGTAGAAGAAATCCCTTTGGTGGTTGTAGTAGTAGTAGTTTGTTTGGAAGTCGAACTTGCCTTCGATCCAGGTTTTTCTTTCTTGACTATTTTCTTCTCGACAACTAACAATAGACATGCATTTGACAGTTGGTTAAATTAATGATATTGAGTAAGCTTTGAAAGGACAATCGAAAGGATCAAGGAATCCTTTGGTTCCATACCTTCATATGTATCAGATACAATAGAGACTATTGATAGGTGATAGTGAAGAAAACCTTTAAGACTGTCTAGAGTATGTTTAGTCGAAACCACTTTCTTAGCAGGTTTTTTAGCATCATTTTTTAGAATGTTAAAAATATTTCCACAAGTAAACCAATTTGGATAAGGCAGAAAAAACGCTAAACCAAAGTCGGCATTTGGTAATTTTGGAAGTTTTGGTGGTTGTAATCGAAAAGCTAGTTCATACCTATGTTCAGGCTTTATAGAAGAGGGAATTTTTAGGCTTGGAAGTTTTTTAGTAAATTTCTCTTTCAAAGTTTTTGATGTGTCAAAAACAGTTCGACTAATATTAGTTAGATCATAGACAGTTTCAAAGTATCCCTGGAACACCTAGATTTCTTTGATGTGTGTGAACTTACCTTTTTGAATGTTTTCCTGCACAAATGAAAAAGCTTTCATTAAATGTTTGTTTATCTAGGTAGTATTGAACATGTTCTTGGTTTAAAATTCAGTCCACCAAGAGTAAAAACTTTTAGTTGTGTAAAAAACTGGTTGAAACGAAGTAAGTTCAAATTTAGCAAAGTTGACATGATAATTCTGATATTTATCAATGTCCTGAAAGATATAGTCCACTCCTGCCACATAAATTTCTCTCTTTTGATTAAATATAGGTTCAGAAACAAGCTGATATAATCCAAACTGGCGGGATACAAAATTGGGTTGATATGCCAATAGACAAACATGGCTCTTCACTGGCATGATCCTGGAGATTAGAAGCCTTGGTAATGGGAATGCATGTCATATGTCTTCAATTTATGAGTTAGCATTCTTCAAAGCATCTTCGATAGATGAGGTAAACCATGCAGGACCATGGGTTCAACGAGCAAAGGAAGCCATGGTTGGGACAAAATCATGACAATTCGAAAACATTATCATATACTTGGTTAAAAAAATATGGAGATTTTCTGCCTCTTCGTTTGGGGTTAATTGAAGAAGTCTGATTCCTTCTATGGTCCGATTGGAAATATCAAGATCTTCTTCATCTATGGTCTTGAAGGTGCTAAGTGATGGCTCGAAAGTGGCATTTAGCCACAGTTGAAGAAGCCAGTATGGGTCAGCAAGGAGCAGGTTAATACCAGTTTTGTAGCTTTTTAATTTAGAAATAGCAGACCCTAAACTCTCATAAAGACCAATTAAGAGAAATTCACTCAAACATATCTTTCGACCAGAATGCAATTGGTTGGCTATGGTTAAAAATATCCTTGAACCTTGTAGTGATTTGCAGCAAAAAATGTACTTTGACAACCATAAGGCCAGGAATGCTATGTGTTTAACATCTGTAATTTCATCCCCTTCAGTATGATAAAGATTCATATAAGCAGTGAAACTAGCATTTTAACTTGGAAGTTAATGGTGTTGTCTGATTGCAAGTAAGGGTTAAAGGTTTCTCCAATTGGAGGAAGTCCAGTTATTGCAGCTATGTCGAAAAGAGTGGGAGTCATCATCCCACAAGGAAGGTGGAAAGTATTATAAGTGTTATCCTAAAAATATAGAGACGCTAATAGCAAAGGTTGACAATAACTGAATCCCGATTTTGACATTTGGATTAAGTCGAAGATACCTAGATCTTTCCAGTATTGAGATTTTCGATTTTGGAAAGCCAAGACAAATAAAGTTTATCCAATGAAGGGCATGATCGAAAGGGTTTAAATTTTTCAGTTATATAATCTAATTGAAAAACTTCCCTCTTTATCTTAGAAATTGAGGTTTCCTAAAAAAATTTCTCTTTGGAAGTTTTTACGGGTTTCTTAGCAGAATCGTCACCATTTTCCTT